GATTGTTGAATTAAAGTTTTGAGTTTTCTTTCTCAATTTGAAACGTATTAGTTATGGAGCAATCGACCGAACGTGTCTCTTTTGACACCAACCAAGTTTAATCTACTTGACGAGCCAAGTCCTTTAGGACTGAGCTTAAAAAAGAGCCCATCTTTTCAAGATCTGATTCAGACAAGACTTTCTCAAAGTTGTGACACAAACTCAAAAACTTTGCAAACTGGTGCAGTTGGCTTTGGTGTTAAGAAAGAAAGTGTAGGTAATGATTTTTCGGTTGTAGGAACAGTTGAGAAATTGAAAGCTTCGAACTTTCCTGCGACGGTTCTGAGGATAGGGCAATGGGAGGTGAGTTCTTTCAAGTATTTTTTGTATTTTCTTCAAGTTCTATTATTTTTTTTTCGTTTAATGGTGTGTTAGGAATGTAATTTGGTTATGTTTGTTTGTTAGTATAAATCGAGGTACGAAGGTGATTTGGTTGCGAAATGTTACTTTGCGAAACACAAACTTGTATGGGAAGTGTTACAACAAGGTCTTAAAAGCAAAATCGAGATCCAATGGTCAGATATTCTGGCTTTGAATGCAAATTGTTCCGAAGATGAACCTGGAACGATGACTATCATGGTATAAAATGCATTTCTCGTGATCGTTTCAGTCGCTTAGACCTTGACATAGCAGAGTTTTGATTTCGTATATCTTGTTTGATGTAGTTGGCGAGGAGGCCGTTATTTTTCAGGGAAACTAATCCGCAACCTAGAAAGCATACTTTGTGGCAGGCAACATCAGATTTTACTGATGGTCAAGCTAGCATGAACAGGTAAAAAAATTCTCGTGTACCTCCTAAGTATAGACTTCAATGCACAAGATTATTGAAAATGTACCGAGCGTGATTGAATAAGACAAGACTTCAAATGACGATGGTTTCTGTGTTTTGTTTTTGTGATATTGTAGGCAACACTTTCTGCAATGTCCCCAAGGGATATTAAACAAACATTTTGAGAAGCTTGTCCAATGCGATCATCGCCTGTTCTGTTTAAGCCGACAGCCAGAGATAAATTTGGACTCACCCTATTTTGATACACGACAATCTATATTTGAGGATCCCTTTGTGTCTGAATCTCAAAATATATCATCTCCTGTTGGGGCTCAGTCACCATCAGAACATATGTCTTTGTCTCATGACGCACTGTCTCCTAACTCAGGTTTTGTATCTTTCACACTCATTTTTCTCATCTCTTGTTAATATATGTCTTTGTACACTCATTTTTCTTTTTGCTTCTTACTTAGTGATGGATGCTCGTGGAATCGAAGGAGTTGGTGCTTCTGTTGATTCAAAAAATTGGAATCAGATACAAGTGCCTGGACTAAGCCAATCTATCTCGATGAACGATTTCTTTGCACTTTTGTCAGATCAAGCTTCTAGTGATAAACCGAAATTAGAGGAAATGAAACAACTGCTGCTAAGTGACACCCAACCGGATCCATCAGATGAGAGATCTGTAATGTCAAAGGTGAATTCGTTCTACAACCTCTTGGAATCCACTACAAACACACAGCTCAATACAAAAAATTCTGATGGCGGACCAAACGATAATTATAAGAACAATCATAGAGCGGAAGACAATAATAGAGTTGAGGATCCTGCTTCAAGCAACAAGTCAAATGGCATGTCAAGGAAAGACTCATTCAGTGATTTGTTTGTACACCTTCCTCTGGTCACATCCTTACCAAAGTTCTTGTTCAACATTGACGGTGATGCACATAGTAGATAAGATAACGAATCAAAACTACCATCGCCATATAATTATTTGGAATGTGACAACCAAGTCTAGGAGTCTTGAACAAGTAGCTGTAAATCAAATTATCCCTCTGTGTAACCAGGAGAATTTGTGCTCTTGGTTGTAAGTGTTAAAACTTGACTCTCAACACAAGGGTTTGGAGAAGCTTTGTAGTTTGATGACGAATCCTTGTTTGTGATGGCATTTTTTTCTAAAGCCATTTCGCATGAAACATGAACTAATTACAAATCAATACTATAGTAGTACAAGTAGGCCATTTTTTGTAATTTTTTCAGAACTCTTAACCTTACCACTTGAAGTTGTAAGCCTCTTTTCTTCATGTACTCTACTGCTTATGTTTTCAATTAATTTCTTGTGGCCTATCAGAACCTTTTATTGCTCAGATCATACAAGTGGATAGTGGTTGTTGTGTAATAATTTCAAAAATAACTATAATTGTTTTACTTAACTAAAACTGTATTAACTTTACCAGATAAA